GCTCCTTTGACTTGAACATCGTACTCCTTGACTTGAACATTGAGCTCCTTTTCATTCAGACATTGTGCTCCTTTTGAACATTGTGTTCCTTAGCACACATTGTGCTTGTCAGCACACATCGTGCTCCTTGGCACACATTGTGCTCCTTAGCAGCATTGTGCTCTTTTTGGTAGCATTGTGCTCTTTTTAAGAACATTGTGCTTGTCCGAAAACTTGACTTAAAATAAGTCCTTAGGGGAGAATCAATCTCGGATGTGATCGTTTTGAGTAAGGACTTCTACCATTTCACCGTTAGGCTCATCCGGTCATTCTTTGCAACGCCATTCCTTTATGCTTCTTTTTCGGATGAATACTTGTAGGACCAAAATTAATTTTTCAAATTAATTTTGTTCTTCCTATGGTAGATTCCTTTTGACTCGATATTCTGATTTATGATGCTTGTACTAAAAGACCTAAAAACCAAGGGGATCTAAAGTACATTTGGCTCATCAAAACTTACAAAAATATTCCTATCACAGACCTCCTCCGCCTGGTATCTGTGGCGGACCGGGCTGCAGCGACAAAAGAGCCCCCAATGACTAGGGCCCCCGGGCTCCGTGCAGCTTGCGGTGAGGTGGGGTCTGCCAAGTGGATGCGCCCTTGCCCTTCTCAGCGGCAGACAGTCAGGCCTATGCGGCGGTGCACAGAATGGAGAGTCGATCAGACATGTCTTCCCCCTGAGCGACTTCTCGTGATGCTTCGGGAAGGGCGGGTGTAGCGGCCGGTACCTCCTCCCCTCCTTCAAACTCCTCGGACGAGTCGGATAGGTCGTTGTTACCTGCGAAAGAAAGAGCAGAAAAAGTTGGCTTATTGGCACAGGTACGTCAAGTCACCACCAAGTAAAATATGAACCTGTCCAGGGAGCTCCGTTCGGTAGCAGGCTAGCCTTCATCATGGCTGCCAACCGTGACCATCGCTCGGCAGAAATTAGCTCGCCCCCGGTGATCCGTTGGACCAGATCAACCAAGTGCCCGGCGTAAGCCGGTCTGCCGTCCAAGCGGTAGTATGATATCGACCAGGTTGGAGGAAAATCGAAGGATGGGAGATGATCAGCCGGGCGGACGAAAAAGAACTCCTCCTTCCAACCTTTGTGGGAGGAGACCAACTTGTCCAAGAACTTGCGGCCGTCTCGGAAACGTATTTGCACGTATCCTAGAGCAACCGCACCGACCGCGGTGATGCGGAAGAGCTGGTGGAAGAGAGGAAGAGTGGCTTCCATGCCAAGGCAGTGGTAGTATGTGAGGAAGGCGGTCAGCTGGCAGTAAGAGTTTGGCGCCAGATGACCAGGCAACACACCATAGTAATGGAGCATAAGAGAAAGGAAGGGAGAAAGGAGGAACCCGGAAGCCACACCGGACAGACTGGTAATGGATCCCCACGTATCCCCCACTAGGAGGATCCATCACCATTCAGTCGCCTACCTGGCGGCATACGGCAGACGTGCCCAACAACCACCGGGCATGAAGAAAATTGACGTTGCGGAGCGAGGAGCGGCGGCCTACCGGCCAATCGAGGGCATCAAGAAACCCCGACTCCCGGTCCTCTGGGGTCGACAGGGGCCGCCGCCGGTAGGTCCCCTACCGCGGCAGCCGCCGAAACCACGATCGGAGAGCTCGCGGCCCGACCCTGATGGTCGTCCGCGGCGGAGGAAGAAGAAGAAAACGAAGACGAAGACGACATGAAAGAACGACGGGAGAAGGAAGATAGATGGGAAAATAAGTGATATATTGGAGTAGAAACTGACCTAACAAAAGAACGACGAGCGGAGATGGGCAGAGTTATCTTGAAGGGTAAGAGCGCCGGTCGCCGGAAAAAGAAGAGAGGCTGAAGTTTGTGGGGAATGTAGAGCGTCAGAGGAGCGGAAGTTCAGAAAATGTAAAGAGGGAAATGAGAGGAAAATCCGAGATATTTATAGGCTTTGACGACTGGTGAGATCGTGACACGTGTCCTCGATCGAACGGAGCAAAAAGTGATGTAACGTTTGACGGAACGGTTATGGGAAGACGCGTATCGAAACCCCAACCGGCGGAACTCGAGGGATCGTCATAATTGCACTCTAGTGACCATACCGCTTCGCGGAACCAGTCGGTAAGGCGCGAGATCAGTCAGAAAGGTGATAATATACTAACTGGGCCCTTGGTTAGTAGGACCAGTGTCAAGAAGCAGGGCGGCAAGGATGTTTGGGTGTTTCCTTGAATTTTTGTTCTACTTTTTCAGGCTATCGCTCTTCTAAACCTAAAAAAGTGAGGGACTAGTCATAGATACCCCCAAAACGGACACCCGAGCGGGAAGATGAGGCTAGGCGGTCAGGTATGAACGTGATACGACACTTAGCAAATGGGCAACACCTGCGATTCCAGGAAGAGTACTCGGAGACCATAGCCAGCCAGCTCCCAACGACCGACCACCAGGAAGGATGGCTACCAGCCCATGTGAAGGTTAGTCGGCTCGAGCAAAGCGGTCAGCTGCGACAGCCGGTGTGTCCCCGACGAAACGCCTTACAGAATTTGGACAGGCGACCAGGCTCCGCAAGCAGCGTGTCCCAGGCTGGGTACCACTCAGGAGATCAGTCAGGCGATTAGGCTACGCGGTCGGGACATCCTCGCCCGAGCACGGTGACTCCTCGAAGGCATCTCCTCAGCAACTAGGATACTCCCCGACCGAGTACTCCCCAGAGGCAGTTACAAACATGTTCCGCGGAGATTTACTTTCTTCATTTAATACAAGTAGCTTCCTTTATTAGTTTAGGCAGTTAGGGCGTAATAAAGGCCAGTTTCCATAGCCGAATCGGCCCTACGCGTCAGCCCTACTTTCGTTGTAGATTTTGGCTCTACGGCAACCCTAAGTTTCCTTGTACGGGTTTTATGTCCTTGTATAAATATCCCCCCCGGGATCATCGTGCAAGGGAGATCGATCATTTTTGGCTTCTCTTGGAACTTAAGCAGTCGAAGCTCTATAGAAATAATATCGCATTATTCTCTCCACTGCTTTATCCTCTATTCACAATAAACTCTCATTTATTGTATTTTACGGTAGTTGGCCCACCGACCGGCACCATAAAACCAACCGGCTTATTTGACTTGGTTAAAAAAATCAATATAAATATTTGGTTAATTAGCGTTTTGTAACTTCAAAATGCTAAAATTCAAAAAGCTGCTCAAAGCATCTTTTTCAATTAGCTTTTTGAGAAAAGAAATTATATCAAACAGCTATCAGCTAACAACTAATTTACCAAACACTTTTATACAATCAGCTAATGTTATCAACTAGTTACACCCTCTAATTAACCCAATCAGCTAACAACTAACAACTATCGGCTAACCGCCATTTACCAAACTGGGCCATTATCTTTTCACAGGCACACAACATGTGACATTTCTAGCATAGTAACAACATACATATTTACGAATACTAAATAACATGCTCCCTTCACATTATATTTTCATATCATAAATAAGTTTAGTGTCAAACTACAATCATAGGTTTGCACCCCTCACAAATTTCAAAACCTAGAACATTGAGCATGACCTTCAATGGTAAAATGAGTTATGACCTAGATGTACCCCAAAATTTCTTAAGAAAAAGCCATAAATCTCCATCTCCATAAATTTCTTAAGAAAAATCATGAGGGGGCAGGGGGGGGGGGGGGGGGGGGAGAGGGAAGGGGAAATATAGAAGGGTATTGTCAGTTGTGCAAAGTGAAAACTAACATCAGAGTTGATGCACACAATCTCCTAAGAAGAAAACACATCACAAATGAAGAAATCTCAAGACCCAATGAATAACAATTAGTGTATGCTTAAAAATCATTTAAGTTTCTCATTGGAGGTGAAGCTTAAAAGGTTTGACCCAACAGCATATCTAACCAATTCTACTTCCCATCATAATATAAACATTAGACATAACCAAAACAAACTTTATGGAGAACTCTCCATTTCAGTGCACATCAATTCAAATGCAACCGGCTCGATCGGCTTCTGGTGACATCAAGGCCCATTAAAGTAGGGTCGGTGGCTTGCAAGTTGCAACTCTATCCAGACGCCATCGAGCTCACCCTAGATGTATCGGGTGACCTTCAATCATTGGAAGGGTAGAGGTCAAATCCTAAAGAACTGACAACGAGATAGTATGACAAAAATTTAAGCAATGTGCACATTGACCCTAAAGAATTTATATATTACCAATCAATGAAGAAAATTCAGCTCTTCTGGCAATTTTCCTCGGTTACAAAATCAAAGTCGTAGACTGGCAGTGAAGTCCTCATAGCTTTGTGCTGCCTCACCAAGTTTTTCGACAATCACCTGCTTAACTTCAGCTTGCAGTCATAATGAACAGCCATCCCAGATGTTGCATTAGCCTACAGTTTTGTATGTTAAATCCATCATTATATTAATGGTAAATCAACACAAAAAAGATTTGGGAACACAAGGAAATTGGCGAATAAGAATATGAGAAATAGCATCTAACAATATTAACAGTTGCCAGTTGGGGATCATCTCAGAGATATAACTTTGTTTATACCATAAATAATCCATAACAAGATCATTCATGTTAAACATAACAATGCTCGCTAGATTCTAAGCCTGATCAAGGCATTCCTACTTCATACTCATTCAACCAACAAACACATTATCTGTTCTAGATGTGAACAAAAACTAATTAGTTAATACAAACATTTTATACAAGAAAGAGTTGTGATTGATCATTGATCCAAATCACTTCATAGCTAGGCATGCTGTTAATCATGAACTTATAATTGGAATATCAGGAGTTCATTATTTATTATCTTTTAGAATGCATGTAATGTTTGTAATTTGCTGTGTGAAGAATCTAGACCTCTATATAATGTCCTCTGTGGTCTTTTTAAACCTTTTATGGAACTTCTTAGTGTTCCATCCAACTTTTTGTCAATAATCATCCCTCATTCAAACCAAAGGGAAATAAATAAATAACCTGACTAATTGAGGCCTAATTTTATTTTTCATTTAAGTATAAACATAAGCCATTAGTGAACTATGATCTAGAATTGAGGCATTTAAGATAATGTCATTTGGCCCATCCACCATATCAACAACCACCCCTCAACCCCAAGAACAAAAGCAGAAAAAGATAACATAGTTAAGCCAAACAGAAATAATACATTTCAGTAGGGTCAGTGGCTAGTGGCTTGCGACTCTGATCATCTATTTGGATGCCATCCATCTAGCTCTCTCTTGAACCTACCTTTGGAGCTTGCATAGATCGATCATCTTGCATTGCTTCTCACCCTAGCTAGCTGTATCGGGTGGTGACCTTCAATCATTGGAAGGGTAGAGGTCAAATTCCAAAGAACTGACAACGTGATAGTATGATAAAAATTTAAGCAATGTTGACCCTAAAGAATTTATTTAGATATTAGTATATTACCAATTGTAGTTAATTGCCACCTGGACATCAAAATTTGCCTAGAAAAATCTCGTCATGCATGCATGCTAATAGCCCACTTCATGCACTCATTAGGCAATTAAATCTAGCTACCACTCCAATTATTACTCCGTGTAGTCGTGTATATATATTTTTTGTTTTCTTTATTTTTTCCTGGGGCCTAAAAAAGACTATTAGAAAATAATAATAATAATAATAATAATAATAATAACCATTGGGCATGTTCTTATAAGGCATAGATATATGAACTAGATAGAAATAAAAATAAGAATGCTTCAAAGGGCCCAACCGGGTTCGAACCGGTGACCTCTTGATCTGCAGTCAAATGCTCTACCACTGAGCTATGGACCCTTGTTGGTGATTGTTTTATTTAAAAACTTTATGTAAGTTAGTTCAATTTTAACACTAAAGCTATATCCTAAGGTCAAACGCCTGGTGAACTATAAACCCTGTTTATTGTTTAACAATGAAGAGTGGTACCGAAAGAGAAAAATATATTCAGAAAAGTTGTCTTCCACCATTTTGTCACTCACAGTGAAAGGTCTTCTAATAAATTTTATAGTGGGGTCTGAGCAGAGAGTTTATGTTGCAAAGTTTCAATATCAAAAGAACTTCCACAAGAATTTTTCTTTCTGGAGCACTAGTAAAAAGTTCGCTGAGAAGATAGTTTCTACTCACAATTTTTATCGAACGTCTATTAGATCCTGGAAGTAGTCTACCTTCTTGCCTTCTTGCCTTCTTGCAAACCGTCACCTGCCCACAATACAAGCAGAGAAGTAATTAATATATGAAACCTAAAGTAATGAACTTTCATTGAAATAGAGTGGAAAGTTGCTGAACTGACTTCAAGGACCACGATGCAGGCAATTCCTTCATATTTAACAGCCTTTCTGGATCGGTTGCACCTTTGCCAAGCACCCAAAGATATATGGTTGGCTTGCATTTCCTAAATTTCCAGTGTAATTCTTGGCACTCTACTTCTTCTGGAAAGTATTATATGACCTTCTGCATATGTATGCAGCCACATCTATTTCATGTTCACTTTCAAACAATTCATAGCATCCTTACTCTTGTGTTTCCTGGAACAATGTCTAGCGGTGAGCCCACACAGCCACATATACCTCGGGTTCACTCGAGAAAAATTAATAGGACTTTCCTCTACTTTACCCAACTACATCCTGGAATCTTTTTCAATCCGGTTGCTTGCATCCTGACTCTTGTGTTTCTTGCGTCGACCCACCTACCAGATTGAGAATATATATTCGACAACTCCACATAACGAGTTGGATTTCCAACCTCAAGATTTATGAGATGCTTTAGTGCTAGCTCAGCTAACTCCACATTGGAATGCATTCTAGATGCACCCAATAATGCTCCCCAAACTGCAGCATCCGGTTTCATAGGCATATTCTTAATCAAATCCATGGTTTCATCAAACAAGCCAGCACGGCCTAACAAGTCTACCATGCACGCGTAATGTGGTAATTCTGGTCTGAGATGGTACTTGTTCTGCATATTCTGAAATATAAGTTCCCTGATAAATGTCACCCAGGAGAGAACATGCCGGGGGCACACCAACCATTGTTCCGGGATCTGGTTGCAACCCAGATAACCTCAACTCTGAAAACATCTCTAGTGCATGATAGGAGCCACCAGTCTGTGCATATCCATTTATCTAAGCATTCCATGTTATGACCTCTTTAAATGGCATCTTATTGAAGGCACCGAGGGCATAAGGAAATAGGCAACACTTAGCATACATGGATACCAATGCAGTTCCAGTTGAAAGATCGGAATCAATAGCTGCTTTAACAGCGTAGCAGTGCACGCCTTTCCCTAGCTAATTTCACAGACATCAGCTCGGCACAAGCAGGAAAAACACTTACTAGAGTCACGTTATTTGGAAGTAAACTCTCACGCTGCATATCTCGAAATACAGAGAACGCCTCTTCTGGATATCCAGATTGGGCAAAAGCAGCTATAACTACAGACCAGGCAACCAAATCCCTTTCCTGCGTCACTCTAAACAATTCTTTAGTCTTCTCCAACTGTCCACACTTTGCATACATTGTCATCAGAGAAGTAGCAATCATAATGTCAGAATCAATCCCTTCTTGAATTGTATAATTATGAATCTCCACACCTTTTTCTAAATCCCTCATCTCAGCAGCTCCTAACAATGCACTTACAGCGGATACCTTATTCATTTTCAAATCTTCTCTTTTCATGCAATCAAATAGCTCCAGAACTTCATGGAAGTTCCCAGTATATGCATAACCAGCGATCATTGTACCCCACGAAACATCATCTCTCACTCTCATCTGATAAAAAACTTGATGAGCTACATTGGAGTGTCCACATTTTGAGTACATATCAATCAACCCATTATAAACAGAAATAGGGAACTCCCTCCTATAAACAAACCCATGAATAGATCTGCAAATCTTCCCGTCCATTAACTTGCAAACCGCGGGAAACAGATTCAACAAACTTACCGAATTAGGCTGAACCCCACAACTAAACTGCATGTACTTAAAAAACTCTAATGCATCAGCAGGCTCTGAACTCTGAGAAAATCCCGAAATCATTGCATTCAAAGCAACTACGTCCTTTTTAGGCATTTTATCAAACATCTCCCTCGCGCTCTTTAAATTACCCGTTTTACAATAGAGGGAGACAAGTCCGGTCCCAATAAAAACATCACATTCAAGGTTCCTCCTAGATACATCATCATGAATATCACAACCCTTTTCCAAGTCCAACACCTCGGTGCAAGCTTTCAAAGCAAAGGTGAAAGTATACTTGTCGGGTTGGAAACCTTTCCGCGCCATTAAATCGTACATTTGGATGGCTGCTCGATACTGGTTGGTTCTGTTGTAAGCTCTGATCATCAAATTCCATAGAATCAAAGGCGGGTTTTGCTCAGAGTTGAAAACTAACCATGAAAAATGGCATTTTCCGAAGGAAGCATAGAGGTTTACAAGGTGGGGTTTTACCATACAGTTGATTTTAAAACCTGAAGTGATGAAGTGTGCATGGAGTTGAAGGAGATTACTGAGGTCTTTACATGAAGAGAGGAGGTGCTGCTCAGAAGGGATTTGGGGTAATGTGGAGGTTGGTCTTGGTAGTGAATTAAAGCTTCTGCATGGATATTTCAACCATCATAGTAAAATGAAAATCAATTGGCATTAAAGAAAAAAAAAAAAAAAAAAAAAAAAAAAAACAAAAAACAAAAAACAAAAAACAAAACAAAACAAAACAAAAACAGAAACAAAAAGAAACAAAATATAACTGGAAGAATAAAAAAACCCCACCAAGCATTTGTAAGAATATAACCTGAATACCTGATATTAATTTTCATAATGTCTTTCGGGCTTGCCTTCTTCTTGCCACTGCAACACGGGGAGCAAACTAACTGTAACTCTGCAAGTTTCTTTCTTTATTGTCAAGCTTCTTGCCCTACTAGGAAACCCCTTGATCAATTTGTATATGTATGCAATATGAATATGCTTATTCAGTTATTCTGTTAAGGGCATACAAACATCTATGCTTTGCTATTTACAGCATGTATACATATATATTTGGAATTCATGTGTGTATATATATATATATTTTTCCAAAATAATTTTGGAAATATTATATATACTAGTATTTTCTATATGTGATGCGCAAAAACATATGCCCAATATATTTTTTAAAATAACTAACAAATTTTTACTAATTAAAATTCAAGTGAAATAAAATTTATTTATTATATTAATCTAACATATAATGAATATATAATATTTTTCAAATATTGTTATAATTAGAGAATATAAGAAAAGATGTGGTAGATGCATGTGCATGGTAAAAGTAATGGAAAAGATAACGGAAATTATAACGGTAAGAGTATTTTTGTCCAAAAAATTGTATAGTACAACTCTAAAAGCACAATGTACAAAATGATTAGCATTAAAAACATGAACATAAATTAGGGATATAACTTTGATCGAGACTTATTATGTTTTTAAACTAGTATTTGTACAAAAATCAATGCCCAATATTAGTACCTTATATTAAAATTTTAGATTTATTTAAATTTTAGATATATATATTATATTATTGTATAATAAAAATAAAAATAAAAATAAAAATAATAATAATATAAATCATTTTTGTAAATTTGATATTTATATTTTATGAAAATAATTTATATAGCACTCTAATATATAATATCTATATATTATTAATTAAATAAGAAAGAAAATATATGGTAGATGTTTGTGCATGACAACAATACTTAGAAAAGATAATTGAAGTTATAAAGGTAAGAATATTGTACAATGCATAATATATAAAGAAAATAAATGAAGGATATTAGTTTTAGATTATTTTGAAATAAAAAGTTAGCATATATTTATTTATATTAAAAATTTTTTCTCTAGGGTTTACTAGGGTTTTCCGCTCTCTCTCTTGTGTTTCAAGGTTTTCCGGCGCAAATCGGGCGTTCTCTCCGGGTATTGTGACGGCGTAACAGTGATGGAAGGGACGGAGCAAGAAGCGGCGACGCAGCAGGCGGTGGCGGCGTTGGGCCGCCGATGGGCGGACGTGGTCTTGGACGACGAAGAAGACGATGTTTTTGTGCCGGCGGTGGAGGAAGGCGCTGAACAGCCGGCCGAGGCAGCACCAACGTGGCGGCTAATTGGTAGGTTCCTAACTACCAAGCTTGTGAAGGCGGAGTACATGAGTCAGGTCATGGCTTCGGTTTGGCAGCCGGTGAAGGGGGTTCGGGTCTCAGAATTGCAACCGGGGATGTTTCTCTTTGTGTTCTTCCATGACACGGACATTCAGTTGGTTCTAGATGGTGGTCCATGGTCCTTTGAGAACCACACTTTTGTTTGCAAGCAAATCCACGATGGTGAGATACCGGTCTCGGTACCGCTGGATTCGGTTGATATGTGGATACAGGTGCATGACTTGCCGTTGGGCTATACCTCGGATCTTATTTTGGAGCAGGTAGGAAATTTTTTGGGTGTTTTTATCAAGATTGATGATAGGTTCGCGAATGCACCTTGGAAGATGTTCTACCGGATTAGGGTTTCAATCTCGGTCTTGAAACCGCTAAAACGGCGTATAAAACTAATGAAGAGGGATAAAACGACTTGTTGGGTAAATTTCAAATATGAAAGATTACACAACTTTTGTTACTTCTGTGGTATGATGGGGCATCTTCATAAGTACTGTTTGAAGGCGCGGGTTGCAAAACTACCGGTAGAGCAATATCCGTATGATGAGAGTTTACGTGCTGGTTTTAGAAAAGGACCACGAAAAGTGGGTGCTTCGTGGCTACTTGATATGAATGGCAACCCGATGACAGGAACACGGCCAGATATGGTACATAGGCCACGGGTTGATGGGCAGGAAGGGGGGCCAACTGGGCTTTCACGTGACCAGGTGGAAGGTGATGTGGTCACGGCTGCGAGCAAGAGAAGAAGGGCTGAGGCCAATGATGGGGGTGATGAGAGAGTTGGTGGAGATGTGATTACGACAGAGATCCAAAAAAACTTGTCCATGGCGGGTTCTGGTTCCCAGACCCGCCCGTCATTATGAGTACTATCAGCTGGAACTGTCGTGGCTTGGGCAATCCACGAACAGTTCGAGAATTAACGGACCTTGCGTCCAGAAAGAAGCCTGATTTTATTTTTCTTATGGAAACAATGGTGCAACGAATACATGCTGAAAGAATTCGTGTCACCCTTGGTTTTGAGGGACTTTTTTATGTTGATCCGACACCGCAGGGTGGTGGTGGTTTAGCACTGTTATGGCGGAAGAATAATACAGCAAGTTTATTGAGTTACTCTAGAAATCACATTGATATTGAAGTAAAAATGCCTAGCTTTCCGAGGTGGAGAATGACATGTTATTATGGCTACTCTCAGCGCCATAGGAGGGCAGAAGCATGGGAGTTGATAAAGTCCTTTGCATCCCGGTCCACCTTACCATGGGTTATGATTGGGGATTTTAATGATCTCCTATTCCAGCACGAGAAGAGAGGAGGTAATCCACACCCTAATAATCTCCTACGCGGCTTTGGGGAGACTATTGACCAGTGTGGCTTGACTCAGTTGCAGATGGAGGGTTACCGGTTTACTTGGGAAAAAGGAAAGGGTACGCCAGCTTGCATTGAAGAACGATTGGATAAGGTATTAGCATCTAATGATTGGCGTGACATTGTGCCTGGGGCTAGGGTGATTAATAATCTAATGAGGAGGTCGGATCATTCTGCATTATTTTTGAGTGTCTATGGACTGTTACAAAACGGAGGAGGAGGAAGGAGAGGGTTTCGGTTTGAAATGGCCTGGTTGTATGATGATGGATGCAGGAATGTGGTGGAGAAGTCGTGGGAGGAGGGGAGGAGTGAAGGGATCCAGGACTGTATAACACACTGTGGGAACAAATT